GATTCTCTTCTTCTTCTTCATCCTGCATTCCGATATATTTATGCAAATTGTAACCTATCCGCTGACCAGATTTAGCTTTCTCATTGAGTATTTCGGAAAATGTTTTGATTTTTCGCTGTTGATTATCACCAGAATCCGATTCTTCCCCTCCAGTCAACCGAGATTGTCTTCTCTTGGATTTCCAGTTGAGAAAATTATTTCGCCATTCTTCTTCAACCTCTTTATTCTTTTCCTTGGTAATCTTAACACCTTCAGCTAAGCGAATCTGTTCAACAGCCTGTAGAGGAAACAAAATAAAATTAATTTATTTTTAACAACTGTCAACACCAAAGAAGAAATAAAAATAAACTAAAAATGCAAATCAATGAGCAAACAAGAAAAAAAAGAAACTCATGGCGAACTCATAGTTGAACAACTTACTTTTTGGCTTAATTCAGTCGATTGGATTTTAACGAACTGAAGAGGGTCATGGTTCTGTTTGCTTCCAGGGCGAACAACCGTTGAAACACAGTGAGTTGTAATAACACCACCAGGTAAATCAGACATTAATTAGTAACAAAAAGATATCCAAATTGAACAACAATATATTAAAATGAATATGAGAAAAAAGAGTTTAAATGCAGAAGCCAAGTTTTACAACCAACCTGATCTGAAGAAACTCACTCAATAAAATTTCAGTTTTAACAGTTACATAACATTACCAACTGCATTCCTTTACTCTTTCTGTCAAAACAACTTTTCTCAGTCTCCATCTATGATTTTTATAATCAATCAAATATACATTAAATAATATTTAATAACAATTTTCGTCAATTTTTGTTACTCAACCAATTAATTTTAATTTAAATTTTCCGTTTTTTCTGAGCTTTACGTAATTACAAAAATGTTTTCTAGTAAAAAGTTAAATCAATTAGTTGTTTCAGTTATCTTTTAAACTAATCCTTTCCTGGAAGCAAATGTAAACCCAACGAATCCACCAGCTAATGATAATATGAATATAGCTGCACCCGTTCCAATGGCTAAATTGAAATGATTTGATTTCATTGTGGATGGTGATGATTCTTTAGATTTATCTTTAGCTATTATTTTCATGTGATTTATGAAAATTGAGCAAATTTTTTTAGGATCTTTTGACTGTTCAAAAAATTGAGTTTGATTAACGACGCTGGTTGACTTTAAATTTGTTAATCTACAAGAGGACGAAGAAAAGGATGAATCAAAGGTTGAATCATATCCAATTGTTTCACAGAATTCAAGAGTAAAACAATCGGGATTCGAATTGCATTTGGAAGCACAATGGTCCAATGAAAGATGACTAAATGTTCCAACAACTGATTCCTTCACATCGTCTTTCAATGAATATCCAACTTTGTGTTCATAATCGCGATCAGACTTTTCTGTATGGAAGAAAAAGTAAAGCAAAATATGCAAAATCAATATTTGGTAAAATATCAACTCAAATAAAAGTATTTGGCTTATCGAAGATTCTTACTGGAAAAATGTGTACATCCATCTTCAGCAAACTTCCAATTGGTTCTGTTGATTTCATGAGCTGTGTCTGTCTCAATGTGATTAACATGTAAATAACAAATGGACCCATTTCTAGATGAAATTGAAAATAAATAGAGAAAGAAAATATTTAATCTAAAAATATTGTTTGCGAGTTTTGACTAACCTGTTATTGTTGTCTGAACAATAATCAAATGATTCACAGTTGAAGTCTTTAGTCTGAGCACATGCTTTGGCACAATCGGTAATAATGACATTAGATACGGTGGATACAGCATCCAGAACAAGATTCTTTCCAGGAAATTCACTAAACAGGTTGATAAAAGACTCTATTGGAAGAGAAATGAAAGACAAGAATGGATTAAAAGAGTTACATAGAAAGACAAGTGTTATTTACTTTCATAGATGTTGCATCCATCTGCGTGGCTTGTTTTATCCTCTAGTTTATTATCCAATGTTGTTGAAGTTTCACCGCTCAAAATACATTCCTTGTTTTTATTAATGCAATAAGAAAGTGTATTACAGTCCTCATCGTTTAAACAGGCCATGAAACATTCGGTAAGTGAACCTTTTTCAATTTTAAATTGTGCTTCATTGAAATGACGACCAGTTTTAATCAAAGGAAAGTCTTCTCCTTTAACAGGCCTAAAGGTTCCTTGTTTATATTCTTGGGAAATGTCACCAATCTCATCAGGACCACTTACAATGAACAAATCTTCAGCTGTCAGAGCAGCCGAGTGTAAAACGAATTGACCCTCGGACACTTTATTCCGTATCTGCTGTAAAACGTGTAAAATTGACGATAAATGGTTTCCCTTAACGTATTCTGAAAGCTTATGTCCAAACCAGACGCGACGGTAAAGATTACAATCTTCATTATATTGTGTATCGATAATGCTTGAAGATGGAAATGCCAGAATAAAACAATCAAAATTGGAGCAATAACTAAAATCATAGCAGGCTGTTGTTGAACTGCAAAGCTGCTCACAATCTTCAGGTGTCAACTTTTGCACTATATCTGTTGGACTGCTGATTGTATAACCACGTTTAACCTGATAAGTGTCAATTAAATGTATACGATCGTGAAGCTTGACAGTAACATAAACATTGGTGTCGATGTTGACCGCATGAATTTGGCCGATTCGAGTTATTGGGATAAATTGGAGTAACAATTCTTGTACCCCTTGTCTAACCAATTCCAAAGTGACATCATTCATCCAAGGATTTGAAAAAACCAATTGAAACCAAGTAAAGGCTCCAGGTTTCTCGTAACACCCAGAAACATCGAATCGATCTTCAAAATCAAAGTAATCGTCACGATAATCAATTATGGTTACTTCAATCTTATCTGGAGATGTCAAAGAGAACTGGCTCCTATCTTTGGTAAATACAACTTTATAAGGCACTTTTACTTTATCAGACGAATAATAATAATCAATAATGGCATCTATGCTGTTTGGCAAAAAATTGGTCGCTCTGTATTCTTCAACCCGAAAAGGTCCTAAAGGTATATCGCCAATAAAAGTTGTTGGATGATCACGAGAAGGTTTCATTACCAGATAATACAATAAATTGAAACTAGGTTTCAAAGGCCATTTCGTGATTAATGTAACATCCTTATTATAATTTGATGTACGATAGCGACATTGACCACTGTGTTCATCAACTTCAAATAGTCCTAAAGGAGGTGGTAACTCAATGGAACGAACGAATTCGGTTCCTTCTGTGATTTCGTATGAAATGACATCGCCTTGTTTCATTACTCGAGCAGTTGATTTAACCATGCTGCCATCGGGATAAGTAATGACGGCTTCCATGTCCATTGTAAATGCTTTGATTTGACTAAAATCTGGTAACGGATGGGTGGGTGAAGTATTTTTACGAGCACATCCATAACCCAATGGATAAGGAATTGGATCAGCTGATGATA